CCCCCCCCCCTCTCTCCTTGTTTTCTTGTTTAAATTTCTTCCCACCCCGTTTTTTGTTTTTGTTTTGGGCTCGTCGCCGGCGCACGGGGGGCGTTGGCGGCATCCCCCGCCCCGCTGCCGCATCTGCCACCCGTTAGGCGAGACACGCGTGCCGGCACCACCGCTCACACGCGCATACGCACACGCATACAAGGTGTGTGCCTCACCCTCTTATTGTCTGTATTTCTCGGTCGTCACGCTTCCGCTGGCACCACTGCTGTTGCTGCTATTATGACTGCTGTTGCTCCTGCTATGACGACTGCTGCGGTTCTGGACACCGAGCTTGTGCCGTCTTCGTTCCCTTCTTGGTTTAACTAATGTGCATCCTTGCACAACAACAACAACAACAATAGCAGCGTGAGTGACGAGCGGGGGACACCTTGTAAGAGACAGGGGGATAGATACGTGGCTAGCGACGGCAATAAGGGGCGAGGAGCGCCTTCGAGAAATGCCGTTTCTCGACAATGACGCCCCGGTCTCAGAGCCGCCGTCGACGCAGCGGCCGCTGCGCACACTTGGGTGGGAGACGCTTCTCGCAGAGGAGGGCACCTTGCAGACCGCGGCTGCTAGCGGCGATGACAGACAAAGGACAAACCAAAATAACAACTACGGCAGCCGTGGTGGCGATGCCTGGACTCGTGGTGCGGGAGCGGTGGAGGTGCAGTGGGATGGTGTGGGCACGACCCATCAACGCCCTGCGGCGGCCACCTACACTGCTGCAGTGGCAGGAGGAGTGGTGGAGGACACTGTCCCCCCACTTGTCGCACCAGAGAGCAACTGGCTGGCGCTGCCACATCCACTAACAGTGCCGCCACATATGTCGAGCGAACTGCAGTCACCACGGGATCCACGCGGATTAGCAGAGCCACGAACACCAGGTGCATCACGCTTACCAACAGCGATGCATTGGTCAGCGCCCGGTGACTCCCCACCAGCGTGGACTAGGCCGTCATTCAATGGCACGGGCTGGCGCCAGAGTCATCACCACCACCAGCAGCAGCAGCAACAGCAGTCGATTCAGGGCGGGCATCTGCTTGTTCTGCAGGAGGTGTTTCCTGCCATTGGGAGTCGTCGCCACCCGCGACAAGGAAAGACAGAATATCCATCAGGAGTTGCAGAAACCGGTGGTCTAGTCCCACCACAACCGCAACACCAAAACGAGCGTGTTGCGTCAGTTCAAGACTCTCTCATGATGACGGGAGGGTCCGCACACAAGTTATCGCCTGCCAGCCCCGACACCAGAGCGGAGAAGCCGCTGCTGGGGCAAGACGAGGGGGCCTTTTCGCGGAAGGACATTGTGCGAGATGCAGATGTTTGGGACAATGATACACAGATGTCTGAAACGCCAACGAGAACGGCGGATGCGCAGCAAAGTGCGCTGATGCAGCGTGAAGACCATTCAGCGAGGCCGACCAGTTGCGGCGCGCACCGGAGAGAGGCCTCCCCACGCCGGAACTCTCCCGCTTCCCCTGTCGCCGCCTCGCCCTCGCCTAATGCGGAGCAGCAGCAACTTGTTTCCGCCGCGCAGGCCATCCAGACGATGCAGCGGACCGCAGACGAGCTGGCGCACCGCGTGCTGATGGCGGAGCGCGAACTCCACGAGGGACACGCAGAGTTCGCCGTGCTGCGCAACGACCTCACCCGCAGCCTCGAGGTGGCGGAGCGGGTGGTGCGGCGGAAGATGAGTGCACTGCGCGATCTGCGCGCGGAGAATGAACGGCTGCGGCGTTTGCTTGACTTCTGAGGGGCAGTGCAGACTATACACACACATATATATATATATATATATATATTCGCCAGCCCCATGTCCTCTCTTCTCTCACTCATCTTTTAACGCCGCTATCTGTGTTCTCCCCCTTTTTCGATTTCTTTTTTTTTCTTTTTATTGGCCTGGAGCTGCATGGGGCTGAGATTGCTGCCGCGTGGCCTCTCACGATTAGGGCGTCGTGCTACAATGTGGCGGCGATTCGTCAACCCGCGGCTCCTCTTCCTCCTGTTGCTTCTAACGCTGCTGAATTTCGCCATCGCACACATCACAACATGGCAACATCGTCCTGTTGCAGGTGCGGCAGATGCAGACGATGGGCACCCACCCACCGAGGCAGCTCGATCCCCGCCAGGGTTTTCGGAGGGTGTGGAAAATAAGGAACGGCGTGAGACGGGGGCACCGTCTGCGCAGTCCCCGATGGGACGGCGGTTCGACAGCTTCATACAGGCGCCCCCACAGCTCAGTCAGTTCCCTGCTGGTTTCGACGACATGAACTTGTCGCTGGCGTGTGCGAAGTACGATGAGTTGTTGCAGCAGCCTGTCGAACCGGTGTCACAGGGCGCTNGTTTCGACGACATGAACTTGTCGCTGGCGTGTGCGAAGTACGATGAGTTGTTGCAGCAGCCTGTCGAACCGGTGTCACAGGGCGCTGGGTCGTTCCAAAACATCCACAGCTACGCCCACCATGGCGTCCTGCTGCCCACACTCCCCAGCAAGAACACCACCTGGGAGCCAGGCTCGCTGCCCCACCCATCTGCAGAGCTGCAGATGTACTACGAGCAAGAGGCGCGTCTCCCCGAGCATGACATGGCGACGTACACTGCACTGAAGTGGAATGCTGGCACTGTAGAGTTCTGTGACCCGACGGATGCGGACTACACCCCGAGTAAGGACTTCGCGTGCCTGGCGTACCTCCGAAACCCCGCCAACTGGGTGGCGCTGAAGCCCATGTCAAGCTTGCTCTCGTCGGGCCGCACCATCAAGATGCTACTGTCGCTGCGGCACGGCAACATTACGGCGGTGGTGAAGCTCTCACAGACGCGCTTCACATTAGAACCGCTGAGTGAGACGGTGGCGTTTCACATGGATCGCACACTCGGCTTCCGGCGTGTGCCTCCAACAGCATGGGTGCCGATTCCCGTTGCGTACATTAAAGCAGCCGCTGCGACGCTTGGTGCGTTCTACGTCCACTGGGTTGAGGAGGCGGTCCTCGCCACCAAGCACGGTAAGCTGATCACGTCAACATGCCCCGACGTGAGACTGGCGGCGGTGCTTGACGCACAGAAGCCCAACTGCATATTGGCGTCAGTGCAACTGTGGATGTGGGACGTGGATGCGGCAGAGACCACGACATTTGCGAATGCTGAAAGGAAATATCCCTCCACGGCTGGGCGTGATGAGCCGAGCATCATCACCAACGACAAGGGCAATGACACCGGGAAGGTTGACATCAAGACTGAGAGGGCCGGCAATAATAGTGGGGGAAGTGGGCGAAACTCTCTGATAGCGATGTGGCACCTTGTGGCCCGTGAGCACTGGAGCCAGCTCGCCTTTGATGCGATCATTGGCAACGAGGACAGGTGGCGCGGCCACAACTCCTTTGCCCTTGCTGCATGTGAGCCTAAGTTGCGGTGCCACACAGCGAGAGCGGGGCGTCGGCACGAGCAGCCGTCGAAGAGCACGCCGCGGCTCATCTACATTGACCAGGGGTCCGGCTTTTACCATCAGGGTCTCGCGAAGGAGTTCATCTTCTCTCCGAGACACCAGCCACTGCACTGCCGCATGCATCGGCAGACCATTGAACGCCTTGAGCGTATCACCGTGTTTGCATGCAACATGTCTAAGAAAGCGGACGGCGGGGACATCGCTGTGAAGGCGGAGGAGCCCGTCATTGCGGCCGTCACTACGGGAGCGAACGCTGAAGAGGAGACGAAGCGGGTAGGCGAGGTCATCTACAGCAAACTCCTGCTGCCAAGACTGCCGTCAAAAATTGGGTTGATTCTGCCGCATGCACTGATTAAGGCGGCGTGTCGCCGTGTGTGGTTGGTCCTCGCCCATCGTACACGCTGTCTGCAGGCTAATGAGGGTGTGCTTTTTTTCTGATGCGAGTGCCTTCTCCTTCACGTGCGTGCTGTGCGAAGCCCCCTGTAGTGTCGCGGGGGAGGATGCAGACTGTTATTAGCACATATTTTGGTGGAATGGAGTATTTATCTGTACTGTGTGCTCTCCTTTTCTCAATTGTTGCGGTTGCTTTGGTAGAAGTATTACCAAGGAACGTAGTTCGTATATATATCTATATAAGTATAGTTATATACCCATCCAAACAGTCACCCACACCCACACGAAACTCATGCGTGCATCTGGAGCGAGTAACATCTCCAATCTATCAGAAAGCACCAATCAGGTTGCTGAGGGACGTTTGGGGCGTGAAAAGCCAAGCGAGCTCAATCGAGAGGCGCTGTGTGCACTCACCTCTGCGAACAGTTATAGCAGCAGTGGAGTCGAGGAGGACAGCTATAACGAGGCAGACTCAAGCTGGGAGGATGCGGAGGGGGAGCAGAAGAGGGTGGGCCTCCTCGCAGCGCGGAGCCCACCGACGGCAGCAGAACAACAACAGCATCGGCAGAATGTCTTTATAGAGGAGTTCCTGCGGCAGCGTGAACTGTCGGCATTGCGTGGCATTGCGACTGAGGTGCGCCTACAAATGGAGCGCTGTTGCCTTCCCCCCTTCGATGTTGCCGCGATTGAGAAGTACGTCGTTGCGGTCGTGGAGCGTGGTCGGCCAAAGACAACAGCTGCATCACCGCCAAAAGAGGGAACAGAAACGACGCGTACCGGCAGCAAAGGCACCACCTCGTCGCGTGCTCAGAAAAAGTCGAACCACAAGAGGGGCGGCTCATCGAAGAGCACTTCACCAGTGCAATCGCGACCCGTTACGCATGGCTCGGCTGCCACGCCAGTCGACCACGCTGAGAAGACCAGATGCACTGCCGCTGCGCCCGCTTCTGGGGTTCACACGACCCCTCTCGATGTGCCGTATGTTCCACACTCGCGGCACGCCGCATGGTACGCCTCGGCCTACAAGCAGCTGGTGGGCGCAGCCACAGACGGGAATGGCTCAGGCGGCGAGTGCAAGACGGACGGGGGGTGCGTGCCTCACCACAGTGGGAGAGGGAGCGCCCGAAGTGCGTCTAAACCGTCAGCAGAGGGTTGTACACCGCCGGCCAACATCGCCAAGGATAACACCACTACCAAGAGCAACGTGGCAACTACGGCGTGCCACAAGGCAGCCGTTGCAGACATTGTACAGCTGCGTCAGGTCCTTGCCGAGCACGAGGCGGCGACGTTGGCCGTACTCGCAGCTGCTGAACGACGCGAGGAGATAATGTCGAAGCTGCGTTCATTCCTGGCGATGGCAGCGGAGGACTTGGGTGTCGGCGTGAGTCCCAGCAGCGGCCATGGCAGCCGTAGCACCTCCAGCAGTAGCGGTAGCAGCCATGGCTGCAAGGCTGCGGTGGCGGGCTCCTCGCGCAGTGCGTCGATGCGCCCTTGGAAGACCACCAGAGCGGTAAAAGGAACATCACGTCGACCGAAAACTCACCATTTCCACCGGCAGAAGGAGGCCCCTAATTCTGCGCCCCCTCGGCGGAGTGCCGCCTTGCGGCAGACACACGGGCTGGCGGCGGAGCGGCGCTACTACAAGCGTGGCATTCTGTACTTGTTGCAGAGACTGCAAAAGGTCTCTGTTGCGGTTGTGATGGGCGTCCAGGCGTGGCGGAAGCGCCTCAGCGGCAGTTATCCGTTTGTGATTCACGGGCGCAATTACTTGCTCGTGATGACGCAGGAGATGGCGGATCTCTCGCAGGACCCCTCTATGCAGGCGCTGTTCCAACCACAGACTATTAAATCAAGAAGAGAAAAAACATCAGAATCAGCATCGACAGCAACGGGAGGAAAAGGACCTATCAGTGTCATGGACGAGCCTCCCGAGGTGCTGCCGGAATGCCTGCAGTTCTACCCGCTGCTGACAAGCATGCCCCACCTGATGGAAAGCAACAAGCCACCCACAACGGTCTCGGCTGAAGACGCCCCACCGTTTGACTTCGGTGAAAGCGAGGCTGCGGAGGATGAGGCGGCATGGGCTGCAGCAACGACAATGGGAGCGAATATGATGGCGACGACGACGACGACGGCAACAGCAACAACAAGTCCATCACCGACACTGGGGAGCGCTATGCGCCGAACGTACTTCCAAAAGACACGGCGACTCCCAATAGATACGGTGTACATACGCCGTCTGCGCGATGCGGAGGCTGTGCTGCAGCGGGAGGTTGCCGTGCAGATGCGGCTGCTGCGGCGCAACTTCCTTGCATGCATGGAGGGCCGCTACCCGCTGCTGCTGCGCGGCGTCGGGGAATTGTGCGGCTCCCACGACGGCACCATACGCCTTGCGTCCAAGCAGCGGCAGCGGGAGTGGTATTGGCACCTGCACGACATGATGAGCTGCCTTGCGGAGGGGAGCACCGCACTTCGCAAGGAGTAGTGGAGCAGAGGACGCGTGGCAACTGCACCCCGCATGTGTGTGCGGGCTTGTATATACACATGTGTGCAATTGCTTGTTTTTTTTTTATTTGGTCGCTGCAGATGAGTTATCCGCATTCTTTCTGTGTGTCTGTATGTCTGTGTGTGTGTGTGAAACGAGATAAGGGTTCTTCTTTTATCGTGAATTCGATTGGCGTAATGGGGGTTCTGAGGGAGAGCAAACATAGGATGGCGATGCGCTGTGCACGGGTAGTTAAGTCATGTACACATACACACAGTTGCTCGCGCTACGTCAAGAAATGAACAAACACAAGGGACAACCGTGGAGGCTTCAAATTGTACCATCTCTCCTTGCGTTGTTGCTGTTGTTGTGGTTGCTGTGGCTTCCGCCGCTGTCGCCCTCCTCCCCCCACTCCTTTCCCCTTGTTGTTGCAGCCACATTTGTAGTAGTTCTAGTGGGGTTAGTAGTCGTAGTAGGCGTGATAGCGCTAGTGGTGGTGGTGGTGGTGGTGGTAGTGGTGGTGGCGGTATCATCGACCAAAGCAAAAGCGTGATAGTAGAGCAGGGGCTAGAGGTGGTGCATCACGAAGCGGTGTGTGTGTGTGTGTGTCTGTGCCCGCTTTTATTAGTATCATCATCATCATCATTCTTATTGCGATTAACATCACTTCTCCATCCTCGACCTATCGGGAGCTCCTTTGCTCTTGCTTCCTTGTTGCTTGTTATGCATAGTCGGAAACAAATCCTCGAACGATGCTGGACGAACTTATCTTCTTTTTTTACGGCTGGATTCTCGGCGCCGTGGCGGTGCCGGTGTTCTACCTTTACGGATCTGACAACCTCGCGCGCATCGCGTCGATCTGCAACTCGGTGCTGCTCTACCTGTACAAGAAATTGACCGGCCGCGATATTGTCCCCATCACATTCTCCCGAGCGAGTTACCGCAACAGCATCATTGGCGACGTGTCAGTGAGCACCGTGGATTTCTTCGAGCGGGAGCATCCGCAGCAGCAGCAGCAGCCTGGTGGGTCTGGCGTCTCACCGGTGCGGCTCACCTCTGTGTGCCAGATGGCGTGGTATGGCGACAGTGATGCGGCTTCCGTGGCGCAGGACATCCGCTTGGTGCTGTTCGACAGCTTCCTGATGGTGTATGAGGTGGGGGCGTCGCAGAGCGTCGGCAGCCACGACCGCGTCATCACGTTTGAGCGGCTGCGGGGGCGTGTGAAGACGGGGCGCGTTTCGGTGCGCACGATGTTTATTGAGTCGAGCAGCCGCCGAACATCACACACGGGTGCGCTCCACGGGCACGTGCTGCTCATCAGCGCCAACGATGACGGCCCGCTGTTCGAAGACTCTGACGCAGGCGGGGGCGGCGAGGGGAAGAAGGCAGCGGTGCCCCTCTCGGGCAGCGGAAGCGGCAGTCGCAGCAACGGCAGCAGCAAGAAGAAAAGCGACAGGAACACCTCTGCGGGGTCCGTGGCGCCGTGCGAGAGCGAGGGCAGCTCGGTGACGCGGCACACAATGGTGCTGAAGTTCTACCACGCGCGGGAGCAGGAGCGGTGGTTGAATCTCCTCGAGGGCCCACGTGAGGCGGCGCACTGGCGCGCGTACCTGCAGACACTCACCACACCCGACGCCTTCAACCTCTTTCTCACGCGGCTCCTATTCCAAAACCTCCGCACGACTGCCCTTGCGAACTTCATCCGCAGCAAGATACAGGCGAAGCTCCACAAGCTGAGCGTCACAAAATTCCCGCGGGAGATCGAGGGGGAGATTATCGTGAAGGACTTTGTCTTGGGCGAGGAGGTGCCCATATTCAGCAACGTGACCGCACCAACAGTGACAGAGAAGGGGGAAATGGGCTTTGAATTCGACTTGCTGTACCGTGGCGGGGCGATCCTGAGCCTGCTGCTCAACCTCACCTACCGCGGTATCCGTATCCCACACGTCGTCATCTCGGTGAAGATAGTGCGTCTCGCCGCGCGTATACACATGAGCGTGGGGCCGCCGCCCAGCAAGACGTTTTGGCTCGGCGGCCTCGCTCCGCCCGACGTGCGGGTGGAGGTGCACCAGGGCATCGAGTCCGGCAGAGGGCTGCTGCACCTCATCCTCACCTCCCTGCCGGACCTCAGCAATATCGCAACAAACCTCATCAAGCTCTACCTCATCCAAGACATGGTGCTGCCGGTGATGGACGACTTCCCGCTGCCCAACGTGGAGAAAACGCCGCAGGGCTCCCCATCCAAGGCGGGGAAAAAGTCATGGAACACGCGGTTCGATAGGCAAAACGCAGCAGCGCGTAGTCGCGTTAGTGGCGACGTACTGCGGGCCACTCAACCATCGGCAGCAACAGGAGCAAGCCCTGTGGTAGCTGCAGCTGCTGATGCAGCAACTCTAGCGGTGAACAGCAGTACCTATAGCAACAGTCCCCATCCAAGCCCAGCCTCACTCACAGTGGAAAGCAGCTTGAGATGCTTGGACGAGTCCGGTACATTGAGCAGCTCAAGGGTGACCGGAGAGAACCCATCCTGTAGTGCAAACAAATCTCCACGTGTTTCTTCCACATTGCCGCCAAATTCAGAGGATGCACGGCGATCCCAAATAAAGGTAAAGGCCCGTGAGATTATGCGGCTTCCTGTCAGGTGTGCCTCTGGCCTGCCAGCCCAAGCGGGTGCTGATCCGAAGGTGAAGACCAGGAATAGTTGAGGAGGACAAGCCATTTCCCTTAATGCTGAGGTTCTTACATTACCCTTGTGGTCTTTTTCTGGAGATGCCCGCTACAACTTGTGAGTCGTGTGTGTTTTTGTGCGTGATGGCAATGCCTGTGGCGGCCACGGTGCTCCTGGTGCTGCAGTGCGGCGGTAATAACTCTGTTGTATCCAGGGAAGAAGGGTGCGCATTTGTGTACCCATGACTTAGTTTCGTTACGAAAGAGTGAAGAAAAAACAACAACAACAACAACAGCCAAACAAGCAATGAATCCACAAGAACAAAAAAAAAAGATAACAGAGTGTGGACATACAAAAGAAGTAGTTACTGCTTCTGTACGAGTATGTATATATATATATATATACATACCCATACAGGTGCTCGACGTGGCGCTTATTGGCTCTGTTGAGGAATCTCCTTCCCCCTTTCTGTTTTGTCCCGCCTGCATGCTTGGGCCTTCGGACTGACTGAAGGCAATGCTGCGCCTTGTGCACTCTCCTCCCGCCTTTCCATCTGCAGTAGGGGGCTGGGAATAAAGGGGGGAGGGTACAATACGTTGGCGCACGTAGCAGCGTATTGCATCTGCGAACAGAGCAAAAGTAAGCGACCAAAGCACGAAATCAAAACAAAACACAAATATATATATATATACATATATATATATATTTACGAAACAAAAGGCTTCTGGAGGGCTCTGCAGAGGAAACAAAAATGCCGCTTCTGCTTCCATTCCTGTGCGGCGCCATCGGTGGTGCGGTGACAACGCTCTTCGTTTTCGCCTTTGTCTTCCTCAAGATTGAGGAATTGCTGCAGAGCACTGTGCGGCGCAGGGAGGAAAAGGCGCTGCAGTACAAAGAGACCGCCGCCGCAAGTGACGGGGCACTCCAGTCGAAGGTGCAGGCGGTATGCTCGATGGCGTGCTTCGACAACAACATTGTGGGGCACACCATTCCTGTCCGTGCCGTTCTCTACGGCAGAACCATTTACGTGTACCGCGTCGACAGCGACAGCACGGCGGGCGGGGAGGAGCACCCGGACACGGCACGGGAGTATTTGATTGGAAAGATCAACACCGTCACGGTCGCCAGCTCGTCGGAGAAGGTGTCCAAGTACCACCGCCACACGGGCATGACACGGCACGCACCGGTGCGGGGGAAGTGCCTTGTGCTGCGCCGCAAAGAGGGTCTCCCACTCTTTCTGCAGGACCCAGTGGCGGAGTTGGCACGCCAGCACCAGCGGCAATATGAGCAACAACGGCGGTTGGAGGAAAAGGAATATCAACTGAAGGAAGAACGCCGCTTCGGTACACTACGCCATCACCGCCATGGTCACGGCAACAGCAGGAGGAACAAGCATCACGACGCCATTCACCGCCAGGGTTATGCGATGGGGGAGGGCAGCACTAACGTCATCGACTACAGCAACAGCGACGGTGCCGATGTGGCCATTGCTGGTGCGAATCATGGTGAAGCTGAACATAGCTTTTCTGATGAGAGAGACCACGACGACTTCGGCACGTGGACGGCTGTGCTGTTCAAGCTGCCAACCAGGCGCGAGCTGGAGCGCTGGCTCAACCTCCTCCAGACTACTCCACAATCGGAGGAGTGGCGTGGGTTCATCAAACGCCTACCGCAAATTGACGTGTTTAACCTCGTCATGGCCCGCCTCTTCTTCGAGAACACCCGCACCAGCGGACTACAGGATCTCTTCGTAGGCAAACTGCGCCGCAAGCTGCGCAAGGTGTCAAGCAAGCTCCCAAAACACATGCAAGGGGAAATTTTGCTCGATCGATTAGAGCTCGGCGACGAGATTCCGCTGATTCACGACGTGAGTGAGCCGAGCGTATCACCGAACGGTGAACTTGAGTTTGATTTTGATCTTCTCTACCGCGGCGGGCTGCAGCTGAGCCTCCGCTTCTCCATTACATACCGCGGCGTGCGGGTGCCGGACATCATCTTCAAAGTGAAGATGCTCGAGCTGTCGAACCGGATGCGGCTCAGCGTCGGGCCGCCGCCGACAGGCAAGATTTGGGTCGGCAGCTCGCGGCTCCCGCAGCTGCGGCTGGAGTTCACACAGGAGGTCGCCTCCCATGACGGCCTGCTGAACGCTGTGCTGAAGCTGATGCCCGACATGAGCGTTGTCATGACGAACGTGGTGAAGGTGAAGCTCTTCGAAGACATGCTGCTGCCATCGATGGAGGACTTCCCACTGCCGTGCTTTAGCTACTCGCCCAACTCGTCGGACCGGGACTCGCCGGTGACGGACCTCAACACCGCTGGCTCCTCCAGCATCGACGAGCGTTGCCGGCTAAATTCCATGCCGCCCTTTACGGTCACCGACACGCGCCAGATCTTCTCGTTGGCGGCAGTAGAAGCAACAGACGTCAATGGTGCGGGCGTGCGGCCACTCGATATCGAGATGATAAATGACGAGACCGCAAGTTTTGTTTCGTCGGGCGCCTCGTCGACGTTAGTGCCGGGCTCGTCGGTAAGTGCGCCGTGGCGACGCGTGAAGTCATCGAAGGCGAAGCAGTCGGGCGCTGAAGCAAAGGACGCCGCCAAGAAGAATGTATGACAGTGTGTTCTTGTATGTAGGTGTGTGTGTGTGCCGCGGTGGGAACTCGAGGCGCAGGGGTCGCTGTGGTGGTGTTCTTCGTTTGTTTGTTTGCGATATCTCTGATGTGTTGGTTGCTTGTCTTTTGCATTGATTGTTCTTGTTGTACCTGCTAGCTGTTGGGCGGCTGACTCATCCGTAAGCGGCGGTCCTCCTTCGTCGATTCCTCCCTCTCTTTGTCGATTACGTGCGACGCTCTCGGTGTGGCGTTTTGCTGGTCGGGTAAACACAACGGCGCTGGGCGTGCATCGCGCGGCAGAAGAACATGACAGGCTGCTGCTGCTGCTGCTGCTGCTGC